GATGGCACGTGAAAAAGCGGATTCGCAAATGGTAGAATTTTGGATGAAAAACGAGACTGCAAAGCCAGCTGCGCTCGGAGGGAATCAGATGGGGTAGTTTTGCCATCATTCCTTGATCTTTTTGTTATCGCTTTCTTAGATTTTTCCTCATGTGGCTTCGATTTGAAGTGCGCGAAAAGCGAAAAGCTGCTATGTTAAACAGACAACCTTTGGAAATCGAGGGTCTGTCAACAGACAACGATGACAATCCTATCAAAATCAAAGTCAACGATCAGATCATCTCGTTACAGGTAAGACTTCCACCCGCTTTACATTGTAGGATTCCTAACGTTTTTTTCCAGGGCATATTCCGTCCTTTGAGTAACTACTATCCCTTACCCTTCGAGATGAAAGGAGAGCGATATCGCTCAGTTGAACATTATGCGTATGAAAAGCTGTTCATAGCGCTCAAATTGGATGACAAAAGCATAGAAAAGATCCAGACCACAGTTTTGCCAGCAGATGTTGCAATTATGGCTAGAAGATACTTCAAGAAACATGAGGTTCGTTTCCCAGTAGATGATTGTGCTTACATTGAACGATCCTTTTGCAGATTCCCGACTCCGCTGTTGAAGCGAAAATGGCAAAAATGGATAGGTGGAGGCAATCTGCCATGAAACACAAGATTGCACAGAATGAATATCTGCAACAGCTCTTGCTCAGTACTGGAGATGCGCTTCTTATTGATTGCTGCGGTGCGTTAATCAGTTGTAGTCAGTTATTCTCTTGTTGTACGAATATATCATTTTTGTTATTTAGAAGGCGATCCCATGTGGACTTGCGCTTCGTCTGAGAGGGAGATGCAGCGATTGTTGACTAAACCATATGTTGGACCAGCCGATCTCATCAAGTGGATGAGGAATAAGGTGATTATTGAAAATTGCTAAAATTCGATGATCCCTTAATGTTTTCTCATTTTCAGGATGACAAAACTCCGAAGACGCTTGCTCATCTTGTTGGTAATAAGACTGGATTGTTACTTATGGAACTTCGTGTTAAGCTAGCATCACAAACAGAAAGTCGAATTCCATTGGTAAGGTGTCCTTCTCTTGCATTCCATCGACTTAGAGATTGAAGAATAACTTTGCAGATATCTCACTTCAATACTGCGAGCCTGTCGTCGATTGTTAGCGCAAATGTGATTTGTTTCACCGCCGAGTCCGTTTTTCATCCGCTCTATCCTGCAGAAATTCGTGTCATTGAAGGACAACCGCTCTTTGCTTCACCAGCTCATTTTGTAGCGAGTCAGGCAGTGAAGTTGGTTGCACGATCGTAAAGTAGAGGATAGTCTCCCCACGGTTAAGTTTAGGTATCTTGGATTCAACACAGAGGACTCTGAGTACGTGATGGAAACGGAGTCTTCACTAGAATGTTGGGAACGTTTACACGAAACTATAGAAGCTAAAGGTCGTGGTCTTGAGAGAGAACAGAGTTGGTGGATGGAACGGAGGCAGAAGGTTCGCTCTGGTTCTGTTGTATTGGTCTGTTTCAAGGTTATATGAGATGGTATGAATGTCTAGGCCATAAAAGACGCCCTTGCTCTTCTGTTCGAGCAACATCCTCCTCTTCTGCGAGCGTTATTAGATACAGGCGATGCTATGCTAGTAAGATTTATAATTAGCTTGTTCGTTCTATAATTGTTACCTTTCTGTAGGTTTACTGTGCAAGATTTTGCTCTATGGAAACTGAATTATCTATTGGAATGCGTGAGTCTGATCTTCGAGCATGGCTTTATACTGTAGACATCTCTAGCAAGCAGGTGAGTATCTTCTTTCTGTGGGGTCGCCGGTCTATCTAGCTCTAATCATTCGAATTCGTCAGTTTTTGAGTGTGTTGTCCTTCAAATTCAGCCATTGTTTGGTTTGTACAACAAATTAGTAATCATTAGTATTTGTTATGTGCCCACACATTACCTTTTGTTACTTTGTCTGTGGAAATTTGTTCATTAACATAGGTCAGATGAGGCTTCTGATCTTTGAAGTTTT